CAGGAGTTTAAGGTTTTAGTACGGATTCCATTATTTTTTGCAAATATAATATAGCCCATGTTAACCGTCGATAGTGAAATAATCCATTAAATCGGTCCAGTAGATTCGAAGCCATTTCAATTCAAACAAACAATTAAATCTTTCCTCTTTATAATATTAGTATAGATATAGTAGTATATAGTAAACTTTGAAATACATTACTAACGCTAGAAATATGCAGAAGCGAATAGTCCACAACCCATTATCAGCGAACAATTTCCAAATCTAATCTTTTGTTGTGTATTTGTTGGTCTTAACTTTTATTATTTTCGCCAGGTTTAGGAAAAGGCATAAAAATTGTAGGCGTAGTTAGATTTGTCCAACTTCGCAACTTGACTTTGGCAATCATTCATTATGTCAATTGGAGAAGCGGAAACCTTGTGGAGCTCACGCTTCAGCGGTTTCATTTCAATTGAAATTCAAAACTTTGTTCAAACTAATGATGCAACTTTAAGTAAAGCTGCGACTGGCCACTTAGCTAACCTTTTCCTTCACTAAAAAACCGATTGTACGCGTACATATATGGAAAAGGTATTCTAAGTTGAGTTAAGCAAGTTGTAATTTAGAAAACTTTCATTCTGTACGTGCATTTCTTGAAACTTAAAACAACTGCCAGATTAAATTAGTTGTTCGTTTTTATGAATCCAAAACCAAGCGTTGAGCCCAATCGACTCTAGCTTCCCTTTCTTGGTTATGTAATGTGAAAACAGTGTGGTGTGCGAACCAAAAACAAATTTATGTAAGGTGAGAGCAGATGAGGTTGCACGCCAAATTATTTAATGTACAGAGATGTAATGTACACACAATTAGACAAGTATAATGTACAACCATACACATTCTATGGGCTGACGTTGTTGGGGGAGATGGTCGGTGTGGGATACATTGACTGCGGCTAGCAAAACAGCCTGTGGGAGGGTTCTTGACCATACACTCCATCAACACCCAATAGATATAATTATTGTTTGGGAATCCCTATGCCTGGAACATAGAAAAAAAGAGAGAGTTGGGGCGACACTTGAAATAGGCTAAGAAAAAAAAGAAAGATTATGAAAAGAATCGGAAAATGTATTGGGAAACAGCAATACCTTCTTCAAAGCTAACCAGATGGTGTGGTTGCTACGCTCTCTACCCACCCTACCAATGATTTTTCCATTGTGCGTTATTTTAAGAAAAATCCCAAGAAGGGGCTTCTTCGCCTACCTTATCCCTTTACATTTTGGAAAAATATATTGAAATTCACAAAGTCATAGTTATTTTATTCAATATATAATGACAAATACTAAATTCCAATTAAACTTAATTCTTGTTCATTTATAAAATTCAAGTAATCATAACGTAAATAAAAGAAAAGCATAATCAAAGTAAAATTAAAGTTTAAAATTCATCAATAGCAAATTAGAGTTGATTAACTAAAGTTAATCTGCAGAAGCAAAAGTAATTCATAATTGAAATATAAGTTTGTTTACTCAAAACAATGAAAAATGACATCAGAGTGTACAGATTTAAGGAAAAAGTAATAATTCATACATATATATAAATATTTTGTTAAATCATCGTATGTAATCGTGTAATATTACATTTTTTTAAATATTAATGGAAATATCGAAATAAATTCGAATTGTTTATTATCAATAAATATTAATTATTGCAAAATGCCTTAGATTCCATTTTTACAGCATATTTGAGAATACTTATAAAATACATATATTTTCAAAACACTGCACACTGGTCGAAAAAGCAAAACTTGGGGTATGAAATAAAATGCAGTTCCCAGGGACTTCTAATTTGGTACAGTTGATTGTAATAATAATATAAAACTTGAAAAAAATGTATGTTCATTGGACCAAGCCCACTCTTATATCCCATATTAACCATATTAAATTAATTTGAATTTGATACTATTACATATATATTATTTATAATTTATGAAATTTTTAAACATAAAACAATATTTTTCTTAACTTTCTCCAGCCTCTAACTAAAATGAAGAGGAATATATGTTTTCATAATCCGAATCTGAGTCTATATCAGATTTAATATTATCTTCCTTTACTACACTACAATTAACTGTACCGACTTTTGCTTTATCGGCCAGTGTTCAGTGTTCTGAAATATGTTATAAAATTTAAACCTTAAGTACCAAAACTATATTTTGCATACAAATTGCTGTGCTAGTATTTGAGCAATTCACTGTGTAATAAAAAATAATAAATAATATAAAAGTTAAGTTTTGGTAGCTAGCGGAGGAATACTTGATAATATAGTTTATGGCTTCTGACATCTTTTCTTCAGCCACCAAACTACATAACCGATAACGGATATCACGAACAATGAGATCAAAAAATATGAATATCGTTCCAACGCATGCACATTTTCACAAATGAAATATGAATCTTCACCATTTGTAACTTTCATATAAACCTCATCGTTAACGAGAACTAAACTAATAAGGCCTAAGCCATTTGGCTCATCTGGTAACCATTTGCCCAGTTCCTTTTTTCCTGACCATCCTTCGGGGCCAACAACTTCACCGGTAGTAAAGGATGTGCCATTTGGCAATTTATATATCAGTTCCAGAATATCCAAATATGTTTCGTTTGACTTCAGTTTAAGGAGGTCACCATCATTGTTCTGACAGTAATTAGATGCTTGCTGAAGAGAAAAAATGATCCCATGCTATGGAACAGAAGAGTCTTTGAGTGATTCGATTAAGAGCCGTGTTATTACTCACTTGTTTATATGGAGCTACGTGGAACGACCCAGAAGGCATAATTTCATAGAAAGTTTCGGAATTTGTTGCGTTTCCAAGTGGTAATATCATAAAAATGATCACAACTGTTAGCACATTGTTCATCTTCTCCAAGAAAGTCCCGTTAAAGTAACTCAGTTAATAGACTTATTAGTATATACTCACCTTTTTAATTGTTCTAAAATCTTTAATTTTCCATTTTTTGATTTGCCGCATACTCATGTTGTTCTAAAATAATCAAATATAAAACAATTAAGAAATTCTGGAGTACAGGGTAACCCAAGGTAAAATTAATTTAATTTAATTAATAATAAATTAAATTAATTAAATTAAAGAATCAAATGAAATAGAATTATTAAATTAAACAATATGATTCGTTAAATAAAATATACAATATTCATTTCAGGTGGTGACATATGTTTATGTACAGTTTCAATGGTATACGAGTACATCTACGAGATATAGGTGATTATACGAACGGGGTTACGTAGAATCCCCAAAACCGTTCTCTCCAACTCGTACTGCGTACACATAAACAGCATCTGTATACAAAATTCTGTCTGTTACATACATTCGCAAAAAACTAGTGTACCCTTTCATCCTTTGGGTACAGGGTATATAAAAGTTCGATATTTGTAGGACTCAAATATATGTAGATTACTCACCATCCATTGCTAGCCACCAATGCTCCAATGCTGGATCAATAAAATCAACAACCGGGGGGAAAACACAATGTATAAAAATAGACATCATATTTTTATAGCCACGTAGGCATAAAGAAGTACACCACGCACTTCTATGTCGGACCTCATCAGACGTTTTCTGACCACAATTCTGTGCGTGTTTGGTCTCTTGCTGAACTTGTTGGCTTCGATGTAATCTTTTGTTATGTGACCAATAAAGTAGGCGGCAATCGGCCGCAGGCTATGCACAAAAAAAGAGCGTTCCGCCGCACAAACATCTGACTACCGTGAGGGGGATAGAGGTGTGGGAGGTGGCGTGGAAAATTGGTACGTAAACCCGACATAAGCCAAATGTGCAATAAAAGGATTTGTGTGAGAAATTGCATGAGCACGCATTTTAAATCCACATTAAGTATGTATGGCATAGTGGGGCTGGTCTCCAGCATGGAGGTAAAATAAATAAACATCATGAAATAAATAAGCAATGAAAAGCAAGCCAGATCCAACAACAACAGCAGCACAATGCACAAATGGGCGGCAAGCGTTGAAAATTGTGGAGCACTTGCTGTTGGAACGTTGAGGACGTGATTGAGAAATGATTTGAGCCAAGACTGAATGAGATATTGTAAATGTATATAAAGCGTAGGGCAGGAGGCAGCATGTACAACAAAATATTTAAGCAGGACATAATTCCAAGGTATGTGGATAGCGGCGACTTTAATGAAGGGATTCGAACAACGCATTATAAAATTGCATGAACTAGATTTATTGTTCTGGCTAAAGCTAGAAATGAAGTCATTTGACAGCAGTCGTTGTATTGTGAAATACTTGTATTATTTAAACAGCGCATTTTGGTCCCAAATGCCGTTTTTTTTTTTGCCATGATAATAATTGGCACATATAATGGTGACGTTATTAGAAATTGTCTTATCAACGCGACGCAAACAGACATTCAATAAAACAGCTTGATAACACATATCATACACCCATATTGTTTTAGTTTAGTCCAGGTGTTCATACGGACAGACGGACAGACAGATCGACTCGTCTCGTCACGCTGATCAAGAATTGATATGCTTTGTGGGGTCTGCCACGCCTCCTTCTGTCTGTTACAGCTCGCGCACCCCGAATACACTCTTGTACATTTCATGTACAGAGTATAATTATTCTTTATAATTATGCTGCTTTGGTTCAACTTTGTGCTGCTGTTAAAACTGAACATAAACATGTATTCTAATTTAATTTAATTAATTAATTCTTTTTATTTAATAATTTTATTTAAAAAAAAAATTATTTTTTAATTTTTCTTTTTTGTGGCTATTTTACTCGACTGCTATTTTGCTCGACTGTAGCGTTCTATCTTGTTTTTGTATTTCAAGGTCTTTTCATATCATAACAGCAAGCAGTTGTAATAAAATTTGCATCTTGATTAGTCGAATGACTCACTGCACGGTCAGTCATTCTACCAGACTTTTATTTAAAAATACCTCATTCATCCATTCTCCTCAGGCATTTGCCTCATGTCATGTCTCATTTTTCTCTCGCACTACTGTTTTAGTTCTACGCCCATGCGAATAGTCCTTCTTATCTACTGACAAATCAAAACTGCATCAGTCTAACCCCATCGACCTTTTAACCATTTGTTTAAATTTAAACAAGCTAAGCAACACGCCCAAAAGCACCAATCAGGCAAAACAAAAATGAATAAACGAAGACAAAAGACTGCAGATCGAACGATCACGTGATGGCCTGGCAGGAAAGTTCAAGACGTAGGCGGTGGGCGTATTGGCTTTACGTTGAAAAAACATGATTTACTCGTATATGCTCACACGATGTGCATGTGCCCCATTGGGCTTTATACTTGTACTCGGATTGTAGTTGCAGACGACCGCCCTGCAATCTTAGCCGCTGGCCAAATGGTAATTGTTAGTAATTGTTGTTTACAAAAAATCACTTGCAGTTGAGTTAAAAAAAAATTAATTATTATGTTGTGGATTGGCATGCAGCTTTGGCCATAACACGGCCATAACACAGTTTGACATTTTATAAGATACGATAAGATAGAAGAGAATTTGTAGAATTTTAGCTAGCGTGTACGTGCATATAAGGCAAAAATTAGTGTCTCTAGTTCTTAGTCCCTGAGATCTGGATATATATAGTATAATGTAGATGTAGATGAACAACATGCATACATACATATGTACACGAGGGCGTACGCGGGGGGGGGGGGGGGGGGGGGGGCAGGTGGGGCCGCTGCCCCCCCTAGAAAAAATTTTTCCATATAAAGTCGACCACACGTTCATTATTATGACGCACTATTTCGCCTTAAGATGGATCTGCGTTGGATTTGTTGAAGTTTTTTCATCGCCCTTGTATGTACATATACATGCATTAATATAACTCTCACACTCACACACACACAATAAATATCGTCTCGAATGTTAGATAACGCGCACCGCCATATGATGTCATCTATTGCACGATTACATAATTGCTTTTCTCTTTTGATAGCCTGGCGTGGCAGACCCCACAAAGTATATATATTCTTGATCAGGGTGACAAGCTGAGTCGATATAGTCATGTCAGTCTGTCCGTCTGCCCGTCTGCCCGTCCGTCCGTCCGTCCGTCCGTCCGTCCGTTTGTATGAGCGCAAGGATCTCAGAAGGTACAAGAGCTAGAATTACCAAACTTGGCATCCAGGCTCGTGTTTTTTCTTATAACTTTACAACTGTACATAAACATGTATTCTAATTTAATTTAATTAATTAATTCGTTCTTTTAATAATTTAAGTTTTTTTTATTTTTTCCTTTTTTGTAAATAGTGCAGGCTATTTTACTGTCGACTGTAGCGTTCTCTCTTGTTTGAAACTAATAAATTTAAACTTTCAAAATATTTCTAAGGGCTAAGTATAATTTGCATAAAACAATGACTTACCACAATTTCCATAATGATAATACATTTTAGGAGATTCAAAAAATTTGAATAGAAATCAGCATCAACTTTACCCATTGTCAAAAATAAACAAGAATCTAAACTGTTTATTAATAAATAAATAATTGCAATTACTATTTACTGAATACAGTCAGAACCGCATTGAAGACGCGTTAACAAAGAATGAGCGAGGAAGAGACTATCGATATACAAACGAAACAAAACGATACACCAGCGATGATTTACGGAATGATCGAATGATAGATTGATATCATTGTTTTGGACGGGTTGCATTTTTAAATGTGTCGGCGTTAAATTTTACAGTGTTTAATTCTAGAAACTACTAGCCCTCAATGTCACAATCTATATATTTATGTACATACATATGTAATACATACATGTGGGTATGTAAGTATGTGCAATCATCGCACTGCCCAAATGGTAAGCGTTAAAAAGCTTCAAAGTGTAGCTGAGCACCAAGAAGTGGTTTTAGAAAATTAGAAATCCGATTATCTTTAAGCTTGGTTTAATTAAAAATTAATTAAAATTAAAATTTTGATTAAATAATGCACGATGCATTTAAAAAATATTTTATGTATATGATCAATGAAAAAACTTTAACAAATCCAACTCAGGTTTATTTTAAGGCGAACTAGTGCGTCGTAATAATGAATGTGTGGTCGACTTTATTTGGAAAAAGTTTTTGTAGGTGGGGGCAACGGCCCTTCCTGTCTACGCCCTTGCATAGTATTTATTGTACTTTACTATATGTCCTAGCTCTCGAAAGTAATTTGTTATTTGGGAAATGAACTCTTTAGAAATTTTAGAAGGTCGGAAGAGAAATATCATAAAGTAAATAATCGTATAATTGTAAGCAAAAATACTGAGTCAGCAGAGACGGGCAAGACCTGCTAGTATGTGTATAAAGACGATAGCGATCCCGATACAGGCAGCCTACGATATAAAATGAAGAATACTTGTATTGTTAGAATAAGTTATTCTTAAGATCCAGATCAGTAAAGAAATAGTAAAGCCAAATTACCTGAAGCAGAGTATACTCAATGTGTGAGCTGATAAACATGGAAATAAAACAAGTACAAGTTTTTCTGGGTATTTATTTATCTTATCTTGCTCGACTATAAAAATATTTCTGTCTTTTTTTTTTGAAAGACTTTTTAGCGAATCATGTTTTTGGGATTAATGGGCTGTTTTTGCAATCTAAATCGACGAACACATTTTTATGAACAGAACTATATAAGCGAACTGAGTTCGATTTCTTGACGTCCAAAGCAAGACGTAGTATCGTCGAGGCCAATCGTTTTAAAAAGTACGCTAAATACTTATAAAAATAAATATAATATAAAAAAAGCAAAAGTGAGTTGGACTAGGCTCCAGCAATATTTTTGACAAAAATTTAAACTTAATATTCTGTAAAACCATTTACAATATAAAATACGTGAATTTATACAAACTATAATAATTACAAATACGTTTAAAATTTTCGCACGAGTCTGGTATTTAGAATCAATTAAACGACCCAAGGAATGACCTACACATGAAAATTGAAATCTTTGTGCAATAAGCATTTAAATATTATCGAGTATTT